CTTATTAMAAATTTTTGAGTAAAAACAGAAATAAAAATGTATAGCTTATACTGATTTGCGTATCTAACTTAAATTTAGAGAAATCACATTTATGTAAAAAGAGTTATATGTTTATTTTTTTGTATAAAGAAAATTAGTTGTATGAAGTATGAACTCATCGGTAAAAATATGAAATTCGTTAAAACTATTATATTGAAATATAATTTTTGAATTATTTTATGTTCAATCATAACCCAATGTTAATGAAAATTATATYGTCTACACGATCTGGTGGATTTCACCTAACCCGTATTTTGGACGTACTCGATGGTTTAAGTGTATAAAAGATGGAGCCACCTATATGTCCACGTTCTGTTTAGATTTATTATGAGGTAGGTAAGGTATGTACTATGTAGGTACAAGATAATTCTGTGGGGGGTTTTTTTTTTGAAAAAAAATTATTTTTAAAACCAAAAAAAGCTTCAACCTTTCCTAACAATCATAAATACATTTAAACATTTTACTTTTTCTAAGATTTAATTTGATTTTTTTTTTAATATTGTCAATAACTAAATTGCACGCTGCAAAAAAATTATAAATTRAACATTGTGTAATATTTTAGAACGGTTCATTTTAGATCGATCTACGGTTGAGCACACATGTCTGAGTGTAGATATACAATGTATTTGGAGGACACACGTGGCGGAAATATTGTCATAATGACAGGGACTAGTTTTAATGATAATATTGATCACCACGGGATATYGGGTCAAGATAAGTGCAGGCCAAGTGTGAAGGAAGAGTCGGCTCTGGGTGGGCTTAAAAGTCTGAGTGTCAGGTATGGTAGAAGAGTGAGTGCTGGGCTGGACGAGCACTGCATGTGCTATCCAGGAAGAAGACATTGCAATAACCACAACATTGATTTTAATATTGTGATATAATGAGAATTAATTAAAAGTTTAGTATGATATCATAATTAGAAGAGTTATATAAAAATAGAATGCTAGATACTTCAATAYGTTATTGTACAAGGATTAACCGGTTCAATAATAAAGACATCGCATCACCGAGCCTAAGTTTCCGCCTAGTTAGTTACAGTTTAACGGTTGAAGTACCATCACAGGTATGTGTGTTGAACAGTTTGAGAAGGCGTCATTACAGTTTCAAAATTAATTAATAGATTTGAGTGGTGCAATTAGTTTTAAATTATTAGTCACATTCAGATTATTGTATCTGGTGAACAGTGTTCAGCAGAGCCGTGCCCAAGGGGGAGGTTTTTAGGCTCCTCCCATTGAATCGAAATGTTTTTAATACAAATATACATACTATTGATATATCATTTTGAATATACATTTTACAATTCGGACTCCTTTTTTGTCAAAATATTATTATGTAGGTACACAGTTCGTTAAAAATGTTGACTTATAATTATTTATTACAATTAGTTTAGTATACAATTCTATCAGACCMGTAGGTAAGCGCATAAACTGCAAAGGCATCAATCATATTATCAGACCGTGTATTCACGTTCTTGTCGTCAAGTTATTTCCTATCGGTAAATTACTACTGCAGATCCAATAATGTTACCAGATTATTATGGTCGGTCAAATGTTTATTACTTTATTGCAGCTAAAATGGATTTTTTAACATTATTGTGAACATTATGTTTAATACTAATGTGCAATGGCTGACGAGTAATACATTTTATCGCTTTAGAAACGATTTCAAACAAAGTAATACTATCATAGGCGTGCGCAGACTTCAATTTCCGTTCGAGCCTAGCCAACAATTAATACCCCAATACTTGGACAGTACCCCTATATATATATWTTTTTTTTAAAACACATTAATTTATACTATAATTGTAAATTAAAAACTGAGTAAATAAAATCAAGTTGTACGACGTACGTGCACTCAACATTAATAAGCTAATTTCTAGACATATTTTTTT